TGAACCATACTTACCAAAAAATATCACAAAAATTGACTTCAAGTTTAGCCAATATGAGTGCACAGTTATCAAATACAGCCAGATGCATAATCATTTGCATAATTTACTTGACATTGCTAAAATTACCAATAGTAAAACCAAGCTTGTCCTGTTTTATCTATGATAATGAAGCACTCCTTAACCTAACGCTGCCGGGAAAATGTTGCGTTCACTTTAGTGTTATGTTAAATGTCTCTGCACATAGATGGCTCTGCCAGTGCTTAGCCACAAAGGAGTCAATTAGCAGATCTTGTGATCTCACTTTTCCCTAAGTTGGTGGGAAAAACACTTATTACTAATGTTATTAATACTGATGCTGTTATTTTTATTATACATATTGTAATTACGATATTGTTTGCTGCTGGCATTACTCACAGCAATATCAAATACTAAAAAAAAAATTAAATCAAGGAAAAGGTGAAACAAGTGAGATAGGTATTTCTATTAACTGGCTCATTGGTGACCTAGTATTTGTGGAGTCATCTATATGTAAAAACAATTACTAAATGAAACACAGTGGTTATGGCAAATACGCACATGCCATCCCCGTCGGCATGTGCTTAAAATCAACAGCTATCAGAATACTCTTGGGAAAAAGTCAATTTCATTTTTGGGTGAAGTGGAACTACCTTGATTCAAGCAATAAGTAAAGTAACAATTAAACATGAATATGCTAGTGCTGTAAAGAAATATAAATTGTGTGACATTATAGCATTACTTTACCTATAATCACATTACCAATTTCAGCAGCTTCAATGATTACTTCAATTTTTTAAAGGGAAGATTTCCCCACTCAATTTAGAATTTTTTATATTTCAAGCTCACAGGTCACTAGGAAAACCTAAAATTGTATTATGTAAATCTTCAATCCTCAAAGCAATTATCCCATTAAATACTAATGAAAACAAAGAGATTTGATGATAACAAACCAACATTATATCCATCATCAACCATTGCTCTCCATATCTTCTGAATGTCATATTTTTGGTCCAACACAGATTTGAGAAAAACTTGTGCATCCAGGCTAATGTATATCTCACCTCCTCCTGAAAGATAATGATCTCAATAATAAGAAATATTTTTCCTGACAAGATTTTATCTGAGAAAGAAAATACTTCATTAAGCACTGTAACTCACTACAAGACAGTTATCATATCAACTGTAATCTTATAAAAAGAAGCATATCAAAATGTTGAATTTGTATTGCATTAAATGTTTAATTACAAAGGGTATACACTGTAACTCCAAGTTATTAAATATACAACTACCTTATACAAATATACCACATGCAACCCAAGCAGCCTAATTTGTTGTGTTGTCTTTAGGCATAAATGAGATCCACTGCATTTGCAGTATTGATATTTTGTAAAGTAAGCAAATATAATGTCTGTATTGCCTGTATTGTTTGCTTCTGAACACTGTTACCAGGAGAAAACATATTACCTGAGAAAAGCTTCTTCATTGACATTTTTTGATGGTCCAGTTCCTCATAAGGTGTTTTACTCTACATAAATCTCCTTTACTGTAAAAGTTGTCTCCAAATACTAATGGGTGACATTTTATTAAATCTTTATAAAAATTAAAACAAAACAGCATAGCTGACCTCAGCTGAATACTTGATTTCTTGAACAAAGAATGACATTAAAAGCTTTTAGATATTATTTCATACCAAAATAACAAGCAGTCAGTTTATATAGAAGTAATTCACTAACCTCTGCAATGAAAACCGGTGAAGTCACAACCTGCAATAAGCTGTACAAAGACATGTCTCTCCTTGTACAAAATACGAGCTACAAGCACAAACTTGCGTTCTTCTAAATGATCATCAAAGAAGTGGATGTGGTAGAGACGGTCCACATTAGAAAGTTTTATTCTGAAGTTCTGCAATTCTTCCTGGATAGAAAAAGCACAGCTCAACTAGTGCGATCAATGCAACAATGATGAGGCATTAATGAAAATACAAATTTAACAGCCAATAAGAATCAGCTTATCTACATGTTTGTAAATTGACTATCTTAGAACCCAAGTAGTATGACAAAAAAAAAAAAAAAAAATGCAGGTTAAAAAGATGAGAACTGATCTGAAAATAGAAAATATCAAATTGCTCATTTTGGTATATTCAATATCTGTTGTCGGCTCATACCAAGTACCAAGAAAACATTTATTTATTGAAAATTAGAGCAACAATAACCATGATAATAACCGACACACTTGTACATATTCCACAAGACAATATAAATGTTGAAAACCTAGTAGTATGAGCTTGCCTTACCCACCTGACTCCAGCAGTGCATTTCCCAAGGTGATGTTCTCTTATCAAGCATGTCTTGATAGGTAAGTGCTTCTCCAATTAAATCATCTATTTCCTCAGCAGAGTTGACAGTTTCTACAATGCTTTTGAAGTGAGGGTGTGTATTCATCTTCTTTTTGTTCCTCTGGAAAAAAAAAATAGAGGAAAGACGTGAGGTGATAAAATGTAATGTGACTCAAGCAGCTGTAGGTAGGCTGGATGAAAAAAGAAATTATCATATGGAATAATGATGTGTATATTAATAAGAAAATAAGAACAAAAAATATCAAAGTCAAAGTAAAAATAAATAGTAAAAAATCATGAATCAGTTTCTTCCTTCAAAATAGAATAAAAATTTATCTGTTTGGAACATTTTTATAATATTTATTAAACATGCAATACATATGAAAAATCCTTTTTTTCTAATTATGCATTCACATTGGCTTATCAAACACATTATAAACAACTTAATTTCAATAAACAACATAATTTCAAGCAAGGGTTCAACCCAGTCCCTAAACTATGTGGTCATCTTGCCTCCTACTTCAGAGCATAATAGTCACACAAGATGCTTGGTGTGTCCAAATTGGCTTCAGACATTCATTCTCTCTCTCTCTCTCTCTCTCTCTCTCTCTCTCTCTCTCTCTCTCTCTCTCTCTCTCTCTCTCTCTCTCCTTCCCTCCCTCCCCTCTCTCTCCTTCCCTCCCCCCCGTTCTCTCTCTCCTCACCCCCACACTCTTCTCTCCTCCCCCTCTCTCTCCTTCCCCCCCCCCACTCTCTCTCCTTCCTCCCCCCTCTCTCTGTCTCCTTACCCCCCTCTCCCCCTCTCTCCTCCTCCCACTCCCTCTCTCTTCTTCCTACCTCTCTCTCTCTCTCCTTCCCCTCTTTCCCTTTTTCTCTCTCTCCTCCTCTCCCTTTCTCTCCTCTCTCTTCCCCTCTTTCCCTTCTCTCCTTCCATTCTCTTTCTCTCCTTCCCCCCCTCTCTCCCTCTCTCCTCCTCCCACTCCCTCTCTCTTCTTCCCTACCTCTCTCTCTCTCCTTCCCCCTCTTTCCCTTTCTCTCTCTCCCTTCCCTTCTCTTTCTCTCTTCCTCCCTTGGCACAGCAGTAAGGTGCTGGTTTAGCAATCTTGCAGACCTGCTTTCAATCCCACGCCCAGCCAGTGAGTGGTAACCCGCCATTCCTTGCACACAGGTGGAGATTTGGGCAAAATAAAACAGACAGTATGTCACAGCAATAATATCCATAGTAACAAATGAAATTAAAACTAAATCTTTAATCTTTAAATTTTTAAAATCTTTAAATCTCTCATTCACACCCCCCCTCTCTCTCTCTCTCTCTCCTTCCGTTTATTTCCCCTCTATTACTTCCTTCCCTCAATCCCTCTGTCTTCGCTCCATCTCTCTCTCCTTCCCTCCATCTCTCTCTCTTTCCCTCCATCTCTCTCTCTTTCCCTCCATCTCTCTCTCCTTCCCTCTATCTCTCTCTCCTTCCTCCTCTCTCTCTCTCTCCTTCCTTCTCTCACTCTCTCCTTCCTTCTCTCACTCACTCTCCTTCCTTCTCTCTCTCTCCTTCCCTCTATCTCTCTCCTTCCCTCTATCTCCCTCTCACTCTCTCTCTCCTTCCCCCTATCTCCTCTCACTCTCTCTCTCCTTCCCTTCCTCTCTCTCCCTCTCACTCTCTCTTTCTCTTCCCTCTCACTCTCTCTTTCCNTGAAGATCTGTCCTAATATAAATTTAATCTTCCTTCTTATTTTTATTTTCTTTGAAAACATACAAAGCCAAGAAGGGCCAAAAATCAATTATCATCTTTAATTAATCCCCTCATCCTCATTCTCATCATGCATCTTCAATCTCTGTCCCTGTCCCCTGTCCTGTCCCTGTCCCTGTTTCCCCTCTCTCTCTCTCTTTTCTCTCTCCTCTTCCGTCGCTCCTCTCTTCCCGCCCCCCTTCTCCTTTAATCTCTCTCTTCTCTCTCTCTCTCCTTCATCCCTCTCTCTGCTTTCTCTCTCTCTCTCATCTCTCTCTCTCTCTCTTCCCAAACCCACACCACACACCATCACACATTCACACCAACACACACACACACACCACACACACACACACACACAACCACCACACACACACACACACACACACACACACACCACACACACCACACACATACACAAACACACACACCACACACACACCACACCACACACACACAACACACAAACAACACACACATAATATATATATATTATATATATATATATATATATATTATATTTAATGTATTATATATGTGTTAGTGACCAGAATGCCCAAATCACAACAACCGCGACCCATTTCTCGAAGCCTCACGAGCGTGGCACTTCCATCATCATCCAATATCAACTCTTCGCCTGTCAGTCCATCAAGGGAGGCCCTGGGTCTGTTGGAAAAGGATTATATATTATATATATATATATATATATATATATTATTAATACGTCACCAAAGGCCATCCATTTTTGATAGGTAATGATATGTCGGTGACGATGTTTATTCGTAGACTGATAAACGATTGTGGTTAATTGACTGTAAATGACCCCGGGATAATCGTTGACCTCGTGGGAGCTGAGGTCATTTATCTTTGAAATCATTTGTTTCGGTATAAGCGGTGTTTGATAGATAGATAGGAGGAGGCGGATAGATGGACAGATAGATATAAAAAAAAAAAATATAAATAGATAATAAAGATAGATAGATAGATAGACAGATAGATAGATAGGTATTTCTATATCGTTAAATATATGTACGTATAGGCATATAGACACAGACACACATAACATACTCAAAACATACACCAAACACACCCTATATGTATATTTTAAATAGATAGATAAATAATAGATAGACAGACAGATAGATAGATAATAAATAGATAAAAGGGAGACAGACGGACAGAAAGAGAAAGAAAGACGACAACAAAGTCATCATGCTCCCTCACACTCCCGCTTCAACCCTTTTTCAAAACACTTTATCGACTCACGTGAAATGTACAACGTTCAGTTCAGTTAGATTTGCAAAGTCACGCTTCGCCTTTCCTCTCGAGTGGCCCGGCCTGTGTTAACTATTTCTCGCTGACTCATGTGAACCGTATTCCTGTCGACAAAATGTGGAAAAGGTAGGAATATGAACGAATATCTTCACAATACAAGAGATCGTATTGTGAAGATATTCGTTCTCATTCATACCTTTTCACGCTAATTTTTATTAGTGTTTAATTAGTGTTTAATTAGTAATCACGCTATACTTTATTAGTAATTAATTAGTGTTTTCTTTAAACTGCATGCTTATTGTGGTGGCTGAATTACGAGCAGGCGATCCAGCTGCCACGGAGTAAGCACGTGGCAAAGACCTCTGCTCGTCTCTTATAAACCTATTTAATTTATTATAAACGATAAACCTCCAGGTGATACAGGTGCTGAGTAATACAAGTGCTGAGATGTAGGAAAGGCCATTGTATATACAGCTGACAACGTGGAGATAAACCCGGAAGTTCTATTTATTTATTGTTTTTAGTCTTATTTTCTATGGATATTTATTTATTTTATTATCTATTTATTTATTGTTTTTATTCTTATTTTCTATTTACATCTATTTTCATTTTATTATCTATTTATTTATTGCTTTTATTTATCTATTTATTTATTGCTTTTATTTATCTATCTTTATTTATTATTTATTGTTTTAATCCATTTATTTATTTTTTAGGTAATGTATGTACATTCATAGAAAAATATCGCGGTGTGACTGAATCTTCGAAAGCGAGAGAATTGGCTACGTCTGAATATTTTGTGTAAACTGGAGACACTTTGGTGTTAATTGTCTTAGATTAATTTCATATAACGATGTGAAATTCTAATTCAGCTGATTGAAAGTATCTTTGATAACTTTGCGTCCGGAGGGAAACATCTTACAGACAATTAATACAGATCAAAAGTTTCTTCATTTGAACTTTTTGTAAGTTTAACTCCATCTAATTCTTTTGACCGTCTCATTAATATCTTGCAATTTACTTAATTACTCTGTATCTCTCTTCTTTCAGATCACATCCAGGGAAGACCAAGCAGCAGTCTTGGAAGAGATGAGGAGAAATTGCGAGGAATTAATGAAAGTAGAAGAACAAGAACTGAAGAACAGAAATGGCCCTAAAAATCTTGGAGACGAAGCCATAGCCAATGATACGGACGTCCATACGAAGACCCTCGATTCGGCCGAGAACGAAAACGGGATTGTTGGAATGAGAGAAAACGGTCTAGGGGAAACTAAGGAAAATGAATCCATGGGTGTGTTCTGTGCCACGACTTTTGACGACGTATACTGCTGGCCAAGAACTCCGGCAGACACTGTGGTTACAATTCCTTGCCCGCAGTATGTCCAAGGTTTCAAACACATGGTATGTCACATCGGACTGATTAATGATTTTAATAGAAAACATACATATAAGCAGCCTCAACATATCTTGTTATTTCCATTTCTTAATTCATTTCTAAACAACAGCAGTACCAATACAAAAAAAAAAAAAAAAAAAATGCAGTACACTATGTATAGATATGAACGCTCTTTGTGAGAGGACAGCGACAAGCAGAAAAATAGGGTATTTTCAGCGGCTTCCAAGTCAAAAGGAAGCCTTCTCATTTCAGTGTTGATTCACACATTTCTTGTTTGCGCTGTCTTTTGTGTAGGTTAAGAATCACACACACACACACACACACATATATGCACACACAGAGGAAAGAAAGAAAGAGAGAGAGAGAGAGAGAGAGAGAGAGAGAGAGAGAGAGAGAGAGAGAGAGAGAGAGAGAGAGAGAGAGAGAGAGAGAGAGAGAGAGAGAGAGAGAGTACACACACACACATACACATACACACACACATACACATACAACACACGCACGCACACACACACACAACACATCACCTTTTATTAATCCTCTTATATGGTAACCAGACATTTATTCACATCACTTCAGCTTTCTTTAGCTTTTCATAGCTGCCCAGTCTTTCATTTCACATCAATCTATTTTCCTTAATTTATTTTACATCTATTCCTTTAATTTTTTCACATGTAATCTGACCAGTCTCATCACATAAATTTTATTTCCTTAATTCCTTCACAGCAAATCTAATCAGCATTTTAAGCTCCA